AGTTTTCCTGGGCCTGGGTGAACTCCAGTGGCATTTTTTTTCCCCCAGCTTCAGTGATCTCAGGGACAGACATGGCAGGGACAGATAAAGCCAAATAACCCTCTGGGTGAGCTCAACTCTGAGTTCCACAACCTAAGACTCAGTTCCCTTGCAGGCAAGAGAGCTATGGTTGCCATGAGCCAGAATCTGGTGAGTCTCACTTAAGGGCACTGCCACACAGCCTGGCAATCGGAATCGGGAAACTTGTATTATGGCCAGGTATTCCTTTGGCTTAGCCACGAGGGTCCTTCCAGTTTGTTTCTCCAGCTACTGAGCAGGTACCCAGTCTTCTCTGCAACCTTTTGGGGGCCTGCATTGTCTTCTGCACGCTTTAGGGGCTGATTAGTCTCCACGTCACTGATCCCATCTGTACTGGCTGGTTTGGGTGTCTACTTGACAAAAGCTAGAGCCATCAGAGAGGAAGGAACTTCAGTTGAGAAATTGCCTCCATGAGATCCAGCTGTAAGGCATTTTCTCAATTAGGGCTCAATGGGGGAGGCCCAGACCATGGAGGGTGCTGCCATCCCTGGGCTGGTCGTCCTAGGTTCTATAAGAAAGCAGGCTAAAGGGCAGCACACCCCTCCATGGCTTCCTGCCTCCTGTTGAGTTCCTTTCTTAACTTCCTTCATTGATGACCAACAATATGGAAGTGAAAGCCAAAGAAACCCTTTCTTGCTTCCTTTCTTTCATGGTGTTAGGTTACACTAGAAACCCTAAGCAAGGCAGCACCTCTAAAAACAAAACAAAACCAAATATTTTTTTAAAAAAATTTCATGTATATTGGTGTTTTGCCTGCATATTTGTAGTGTTGGATCCCTTGGGACCGGAGGTACAGTTGTGAGTGGGTGCTGAGAATTGAATCCAGGTCCTCTGGAAGGGCAGCCAGTACTTGTAACCACTGAGCCATCTCTCCTTGCCAGGTGGGTTTTGTCACGGCCTGGCTTCCTCCGCTGCCCTCCCTATAGCCTATTTTTCCCTGACATTTTTGGGCTGAGTCACCACGTTATTTACTAGGGCTCCCTCAATTTTGTCAGTCCTACACTTCACTTCTATTCACACTGATAGACCTGAGCCTCTAGGGGCAAAGCAAACTGCACAGACCATCCAGACTAGCTAGCTCCCTCACTGGTGGCCGTTTCTGCACCTAGATCCTCTCAGTCATTGCCTGGCTGGTCACAGCATGCAGCTTCTGGGCAACAGTTCCGTTCGTACACCCTCCATATTCTTACTTTGCTCAACAGCGAAGAGCCACACCCTATAACCTTCCCAGGTTATCTCAAATGGCCAAGGTAGGGGTCAGGTGCTCACACGCTCCCAAGCCAGGTAATATCCCCACCCTGTTTCCTGATGGCTGGGAAAGACTGGAGGTCTCAGAAGTGCCTAGCTACATGCAAGAGCAGCCAGAGCCCTTAGAATGTGTGAACTGATGATGGACAGAGCCCCAAGTGGAAAGCTGAAACTTGACTAAATTGAGTAGATGTCATCTCAGGACATGAAGACACTACTTTGAGGCCAGAGTCCTCAGTGGCTGTTTCCTGTGAGGTTGGCACAGTATACAGGCACAGGGGCCTTATCCTGAAGGGCGGGAGAAGCAGTGAAATAGTCAAAGGTGTTCAGAACCTTTTCTACAGGAGGTGAAAAGGATGAGGGAAGGCTGTTCCCGCACCTAGTGTTCTGCCATGGCATGGAAATCAGCCAGGTTCTTTGTGTACTAACACTCCACTATTACCAGTCTGGCATGCCCACATTGAGAACAACGGACTCACTGGACTTTTGCTTATGGTTTCCTGACCCATTTAGAGTTCCTACCAGTCCTCCCAGGGACATAACTCTTTCCTTTCAGACACTAGTGTGAAGCAAAGCTTCTGGAATGGGAACAAGGCTATTTACCACAGCTTTACCCAGCATGGACCCTCAGCTCCCACAGTTAAGGAAGAAAGGGTATGGGTTTTAGAACTCTAGTTTTCTTCTCTAGAGAGAAATGTTTGCTAACACAAGTGGCTGGCTTGATACCAAATCTCCCCACATCATCAACTGCATCAGTGAGGAGTGGCTAGGAAGTGCAACAAGGATGAAGAGGTGATAAAAAACTCTGTGTGGAGAAAATGACAGCCAGATACCTAGGCCTGCCAGAGCCCACTGCTTAGCAATATAGCTTGAACATACACGATGTCAGCTATAGGCCAAATCCTCAAGAACTAAGTCACCTTAGCGCCTCTCTTTTGTACAGATACCTGGTCTGGCAAGTAAGTGCTCTTGTCTGAAGCTGTGCAAAAGGCCCTGTTTACAATAGCCGCGAAGCACTCAGAGGGCAGGCACTGCTGTGGCCAATGATCTTGATAAGCTAAAAACCTAAGGCATTTTTTTTTTTTGGGAAAAACTCTTGGCTCAGGAAATTTGAGAGCGAGAGCAAATGAGTCCACAGCCAAGGTTTAAGATAATTCAGTTCTTTATATCACTCAACATGTACAAACATTCTTAACAAAGGCCTCCACCACGTGCTCTCAAACTAATTCTTTCAGTAAGCACGGACAGGCAGTACGGCCTCCTGCATCAAGCCCCTGTGTTGTTTAGTGTCTGATACAGGTCCTGGAAGGAAGGGGGGGGGGGGTCACAGGCTTTAGTTTTCAAATTTTTCTTTGGCAAAAGTATTCCCAGCAATGTTACCATACTCTATCATTTTACTAAGCACATCTCAGTTCATGAATAGTGGGACTGTAGCAGTCTAAATCTGGAATATTTGTAAGTAAATGAAGGTGAAGACCACCCGGGGACAGGCAATGAGAAGGTTCTAGCAGGCTGTGGCTGCTGGCTTATGCCTTTCACTGTTTAATGTGTGAGCATGGCCATAACACACAGAGAGGGCAGAGGACACTGTGAAGTCAGTCCTCTTTCCGCTTTTACATCGTTGGGGTGAGGGGAAATCAAATTCAGGTTGCCAGGCTTGTACACAAGCACCTTTACCACTGCACTGTCTGGCCAGCTTATTATCAGTATTTTTACAAAAAAGAAAATTCTGCTGGGTTGTCAGCAAAAACCCTGATGTTGGGACTGGAGAGACAACTCAGTGGTTAATAATACCGGCTGCTCTTCCAGAGGTCCTGAGCTCAATTCCTAACAACTGCATTTATCTACAATGGGGTTCAATTCCCTTTTCTGGCATGCAGGAGTACATGTAGACCAAGCACTCATACATACTAAATAAATGAATACATAGATAAAATAGCTGGGCATGGTGGCAGCACACGCCTGTAATCCCAGCACTTTGGAAGACAGAGGCAGGTGGATCTCTGTGAGTTCGAGGCCAGCCTGGTCTACAAAGTGAGTCCAGGACAGGCAAGGCTACACAGACAAACCCTGTCTCGAAAAAAACCCAAAACCAAAGCCAAATAAATCTAAATAAGCAAACAAAACAACCCTGATGCCCACAGGAATCTGTGAGTAACTTTTAAGGTTTAGCAAGAGTAACGAGATTCAACTAAAAGTTAACCAGAATATAACCCAGATCACAGACTTCACAGGGGAGGAAAATCAAACGAGTGGCTTTAGGTTGCTTTGAGAGCTTTCACTGCTGTGCACTTACAGAAGTGGGTGGGGTTGGGATAGTACAGCGGTGTTCCCTGGGAAGAAGCACCACAAAGCTCTTCAGTGTTGACTGCTCTTGCATGCCTTGTGTTCAGTAGGAACTACAATAAGGTTCTCAGTGCTTGAACGGGACAAAAAGGAGGGTTACCCACAACCAAAGACCCTGCTCTCTGGGATTTGCCCACAAGATTCCTAAACAGTAAGAAAAAAAAACAAGGTCAGCTGGGTATTGTTGCACTTAGAAGACTGAGGCAGAAAGCCAGCTGGGACCATACAGCAATGAACTGAAAATGGAAGAAACAAATAAGCAGGAGCAGGGATGAAAAGAGAAACACACAGCTATTACAGCCAAGACCTGGACTCCACCTAACGGTACCCCTGCCTCAGCTCCTTGGACTACAAATGTAACCTGCTGAGGTGGGTGTTTGAGGGACAATCTGAGATGTGACCCTACTTCTGAGAGGCCCAGCCTACAAGCGGGCTCTTGAGAACATATAACTTAGACCAAAGTCTGAGCAGCAGTCTCCAGAGCAGAGCCAGAACCCAGGAGGCAGAGGCCGATAGCCAGCGGCGTCTAAGCTGCCCAAGAGCTCCCTGCCCCGGGCCAGACCAGACCTCCCAGCTTCCCACAGAGGGCTGGCCCAGCCTCTCCACACATTTGGGGACGACACCTCCTTGGCAGGTTGGAAATCACCAGCGATCCAGATCTGGCAACCTGGAGGCCAGGCAAGCACCATGCTCAGTGTTTCCAGGCAAGGCGAGGAGGGCTGTGGGTTGGGGAGAGTGATTTCCATTTAACAGAGTGAGATGGTACTCCCTACGTGGAAATGTCATGTCACAAATATCTGACCTCTAACCCAGTGCTACTACCATGTAATAAATACCCTGAGGATAGCACCTTCCTCACAGTCTGAGGCAGGCTGTTCGCCCTTTCTGAGCACACCGATAGACACTAGTGTCATTTCTTCCACTGAAGCACTCTTGTGAGGAAGTCCTACCTTTGATGACAGCACTGCCAGCCAGGTACCTTGGTCAACTGCTGGCCACCAGGAATGTCAACAAGTGTGTATGGCAGCTGGCTGCTGAGCGCCCAATGACACCAACACTGGCAGAGGGTTAAGTCACAGCATTCTTCCAGGCTCTGAGAGGCTCCTGGGCAAGTCCTAAACCACTAGGGTACTACCAGTCACTCTGTTGGACCCATCCTTCCTGCTCTGTTCATCTAGGTATGTGGCCTGCTAGCAGAGGCCACTCTCATGGGACTACTGGGACTACTTCTGATGCCAAATGGGAAGCAAGACTGACCTTGCAAAGCACACCAACCCCAGGATGACAGGCAGGAAGATTGGCAGCTAAGTGTGAATGCTAGGCAGGCAGTGAGTAAAACCAGACATACTTTTATTTTGCATTAGATTTCACTGATTCAAATGTCTACAACTAGAATAATTCCACTGGTCTCTCTCCAGGGCTGACCCCGAAGTGCACTACCCTGACTGAGCATAGCATATGCTGCTGCCTGGCCTGCCAAGGACTGTAAGCCCCTTCCCTACACCCACCCCCCTACTAGGGCTTGAAACCACCGGCAAGTTGGAAGACAGTTACAGTGCAGTCTTGGCAGCACCAGAGACTGAGCTGATTCCCCAGGCAGGACAGTGAAGATAGAGATGGTTAAGGAGCCCCTGGCTTACACTAAGGTCATGGCAGAATCACCCACCACCCTTGCTTAGGGAGCCCCAGCCTGCTGTGTCTGGGTAGCATGTGAGGGAAGCCTCCCTGCCTTTGGTTTTGATCATCCAGGTGTAGGTTCTAAGGTCCAAGACATCCTTGCCACATGTAGAACTGAAGAAAGAGTTGGTGTCTAGGAGCCAGAGTCCTGCTTCATCTGCAGTTATGTGTCTAGCATGGTCTCTTTGTATTTCTCTTCAATAGTTGCTTGACCCAATATCTTTGTGTTTGCTCTATACAATGAATACAAAGTAAATGAGAATAGAAAAAAAATAATTAAAGCATCAAATTGTACAAATTACAAATCTGTTCCAAAATATACTTACATTAAATAAAATACGCATTTCAGTAAGATCTACAGTGAATGACTATGCATTCTGGGAAGCTTCACATCTAGGCAGGGCCAACATTCGTGGAAGAAGCTAAGAGAATGTGCATCCAATCACAGTTAATAGCGGGTTTCTTATTGCCAATCTGCCAGTCACACCAAACACGTCATTACATCACTTGTGCAGGACAGCGATTGTTGGGGGAAGGGAAGCAAGCGCTACCCTCAGTGGTGAGTTCATCACACCTTCGGAGGAATCCCAGCAGACAGCCTAAGACAGGAGTCTCAGTGAACGTGTTAAGGGAAGCAGGCAACCCTTTCGATGCCCAGACACACTTTCTTGCTGTATTACGTTGTTTGCCACCTACAGTGGGTAGTCAGGAGGGTCTTCTTCAGAACAGCATGGCTGCGCAGGACTGGGACAATCCCAAGGGGCCAACAGGGAGTATGAGGATGGGGAGGAGGGCTACCTCGAGCTGTTTCACATCAGAGACAACTGTGACAAAGTCCTTAGACCTGCAAGCTCTCCTCTTATCATCTGGCATAGCGTTTGATGTACTCGTCCACTTTGTCCCGAAAATCCTCCTGCGGATAAAGTAAGAGAGCAAAGAGTGAGAGAGCCAAGTGACACTTGAGGAACACAGTAAATTTCCCCAAGTGAAGGAGCCTGTGGAGAAGCCTGGCTCTCTGTCACCACAGGCCCACTTCTCATGACTCCAGTGCAAACTGTGTAGGGAGTGGTGGGGACGGGCACAGAACAGTCCTGAGCAGTGGAGACGCTAAGAGCAGCTCAAACTTCCCCCTCCTTGCCAACAGGAACATCAAGTCTAGAAAAGCATGTTCATGGTCCCAAAGAGCATGAGCCACACGACTTTTCTCTCTGATAGGCCTTTGTATCTAGATCCATTTTCCAAAAGTAACTTCCCTGAACCTTGCTGTCCACTTATACTGTGCTCACTTCCACAGTCCACCCTCCCTGCATGCACCCAATCTAAAGGAAAGGCAAATGGGCCACAGAGCTTACCATCATCTCATGTCAAGAAACAATAGTCACTTGGGCTCCTCAGATGACGAGAGAGCAGAGACCCTAAGACTCAGCCAGGTCATATGAGTAGGATAGCCTTTTCAGATCTGGGCCACTGCCCAAGGTTCTTTTTAATATTAGAAGCCAAATCCCACCGGCGGAAGCTCTTAGCTTACTTGTACAACTCAGCTATAGGCTACTGCTGTGCCCACTTCATAGCTACCATAAGCTCTTTCCCAAGTAAGTCCTGAAGCATGGAGGGTTCTTCGACTTGCTCCCTACACAGTACTGAGAAGGATACAGACAAGAGCTTGGCACATCCCAAGGGGCTGCTAGGCAATTAAACGTGTGCTTACCTACAACTGTCTCTCCTCAATGAGGGGCCCACTCTGGCCAGCTCTGTGCTGGGCCCTCCTGTTACATGATGAATTGGCACAGCTATCCTTTCAAGGCCTAGCATGTTCTCAATTCAAACACTATGAGAAGGTCGGGGACTTGCTCCCAATCTAAGTGGTGATCTGACTCTAGATGACTGTCACTGCCTCCCCACCTCTGTGCACAGGGCAGAATGCAAGGGTTCCCACATTGGCCATTCACTCAAGACAGGGTGACTGGGGAGGGCTGTGTAGAAACCCCAAAATATCTTCAAGATCACTTCTACTTTCCAGAGTTGGGTAATACTGTGAGCTCAGCAGGAACTACCACAAGGTTTAGAAGGTGAAATGGACAGTCCATCCTACCCACAGCAATCCTTAACTCAGGATGAAAAGACTTCTATTTCACCTTGCCCCCCTGTTCTGTTCATTTTAGGGTGACTCTAGTGCCAGGCCCACAGGAGGCCTCCTACTGCAGTTCCTGCTGCTTCTAACTCCCTCTTTCATTTTTAAGAACATAAGACTTTAGAATGAAGATCACCACGGATTCTTAAGCTCAACTCTTTGGGTCTGTCCTTATGACTGGATACACAGGATGAGCCTCTTAGTCACTTTCTGAGGCTGAACAATTTGAGCCTCCTCAGCCCAGGTCACCATGGAAGCTTCTCTACATTGCTGCTCAGGACACATGGGACTGTTTCTGGTCTTCCGTAGGAGTCCCTTATACAAAGTCATTCCAGGTGTCTTTCCCTAACAGTGCTCCGTCCCTTGTCTTCCCCGAGGTTCTGATGCTCTATTCATAGACCCACACACCGCTTAGTCATAGGCCCCACAGTGCAGGCACCAATGCAGTCATGGCAATTCTACCAGCTTGGTACATTACACTAGTTCCTTCTTAGGGGGCTTGGGTATTTGATTTACAAGCTTTTTCTCAGAAGCATCTCATACTCATCTGAAGTAGGCAAGACAAAAACAGTGTTTGATGTACAAAACAAAGCTATGGCCCCTCTGTGTGCAAAGACAGACACAGGGTCAGGCCCTCAGAGGCACATCAGAAAAAAAATTTAAACCCAATACTCTTCTATGAGACTGGCTCAAAAATAAGAGCAAACTATTCTAAGGCACAGAGCAAGTATGCTCTACAACACTTGATCTGCCAAGAAGTTTCCCAGGCAGTGTGTAGTGAAGAACACTAACTCAACAGGTATGGACTTGTGCCCTGTTGACCTTAAAGGTAAACAACCAGCTCACTACTCAGATTAAGCAAACATAATATCTTTGATCCAGTGATCTGGCTGTAGGACTAAGTCAAATCACCAGTACTTAAGAATACAGTTGTGTTTACTGACTTGCTGCTTACAGTAGGAAAATATCCTGTGGGGGAAAACCTCAATGATCAAAGAAAATAGCCCAGGAATGAGCATGTGAACTTACTAGGTTAAAAAAAAAAAAAAAAAAAGACTAAGAGTAAAATCAAATGCACATGATCTCAGCAAAGAGCATGGAAAGAGGCAGGTGGCCTGATGATACCCATTTTCCCTTTTCCATATCTGAACCATTGTGCGGGGTGGGGTGGGGGGGTGTTGTTTTGTCCTGCGCTGCTAGGCAAGTGCTCTACCACAAAGCTATACCCTCAGCCCTCCCTTATTGCTAATGAGGTAATGAAATTTTATCATGGTTTTACCTGTCATAAAAACCATTTTCATTGTGAGCAAAGCACACATGTACTGTAACATTATCGATAAACTGCTTTAAGTGGCTGCCCAGCATTTACACTTACTGAGTCAGGAAAGACTCTTGCTACCTTTCACCTAATGTGTCCACTTAGGACAGTCTACTTGTCAGCTCACCTTGTCCCGCAAATGATGTTCTGCAGCTTCAATATTCAGGGGATCGTCGAAATTCAGAAGATCCTGAAAGAGAGCAACTTCTAATGAGTGTGGGAGAACCTCTTTTCTGCTGTACCAAGTCCTCATTTCCCAGAGTCTCAGGGCATCAGTACTGAGCAGAGCAACTTAGCGACCTCCAAGCTTCCAAAACCTTCACTGCAGAGTGCTGAGCATGTGGTGGCATTCAAAATGGTGAATGAAGGAAAAGTCAAGGGTATGTTGACACACGACTCTGGGGACTCTGGGGAAATGGAGAAGATAGCAATCACATTAATATGATGCTATGTGATAACTGGTAAATGACAACCACTCTCTTAAAATGACTTATTTATTTTATGTAGTGTTTTGCCTGCATGTATGTGTGTGTGCTTGTGGAAGCCAGAGGAAGGCACTGGATCTCTTGGAACTGAGTTACCAGAAGTTGTGAGCTGCCGTGTGGGTGCTGGAAATAGAACTGAGGTCCTCTAGAATAACAGCCAGTGCTTTAACCACTGAGTCATCATCTCTCTGGCTTTGAGCCAAAATTCTTTTTTGGGGGGTGTGATGTGGTGTGTATGTGTGAATGTGTTGAGACAGGGTTTCACTGTGTAGCCCTGGCTGATCTGGAACTTGCTCTGTAAACCAGGCTGGCCTCAAACTCACAGAGATCTGTCTGCTTTGGCCCCTCAAGTGCTGGGATTAAAGGTGTGTGTCACTACTGACCAGCTTGCACAACTATTCTTACAATGAAGTTCTTCAAATAGAAATATCTTTCTTTGTATGAAAGTACATGTAAGCATGTGGAGAAATAGGTATGTCTGGAGGCCATAGGCCAACCTCAGGTACCATTTCTTTGAAACCTTCCACCTTGCTCTTTTAAGACAGGGTTTCTCATTGGGACCTGGAACTCATCAATTAGGCTAAGACGGCTGTTGCTGACCAGTAAACCTCATGTATCTTCCTATCTCTAGTGCTGAAACTATAAGCACAAACCTAAAGCACAAAACCAGCTTTTTCACATCAGTTCTTGGAATTGAATTCAGTACCTCATGCTTGTGTATCAAGCACTTTACTGACTCAGCTCCACTGTTTTCTTTCTTGCAGTACTTAAAAAGTACTTATTATCATGTATGTGACAGTGTATGCATGTATGTACATGTGGCTAGAGGGTAACTTTTGAGAAGTGTTGGTTTCTGGGGATTTAACTTAGACCATTATCAGGCTAGGGCCTCTATCTGCTAAGCCATTTCACTGGCTCTTCATTTATTTTTCCTTTGGAGAAAGAGTTTCTCTCTGTATCCCTGGCTAGCCTGAAATTCACTATATTTAATCGGCTGGCCTCAAACTCAAAGATCCATCTGTCTCTGTAAGTGCCATTTGCACTTAGTCTAAGTGCTAGGACAAAGGCCACCATACCCAGCTCCATTTCCTTTTAAAAGCATTAGTCTCTCTCTCTCTCTCTCTCTCTAATATAATGGCTAATATAATGTATCAGTGTGCACATACTTTCTCTTCTAACCTTGCCTGAATGTTCTTTCTTTTTTTTTCCCCTTGACTTGCCTTCAAAGATTTTTGACTTTAACTCAAAACTACAAAGGGAACAGTATCTGCTGTCCCCAAACTCAGAGGAGCAAACTCTTTCTACCTCACCATATACACCAGGCTCAGCTCAGCTGACCTGCACAGTCCTTTCGAAAAACAGCCCAGATAGACTATAGTGAGTCACTGCTTTTCAAAGGGCACCCGAAAATGGCTTGTTGCAGAGATGACCATATTCTTTTGCAGGAACATTACCTGCAGCACTGTGTTTCTAACTAGGAAAAAAAATGTGAATGTTAATTCCAGCACTTAGGAAGTTGAGCAGGAAAAGTAACATGAGTTCATGCCTTACCTAGGCTAGAATGGGCCAAGGCCTACAGTGCGACCTGGTTTGATTCCCAGCACCACATGGTGGCTTACAACCACCTGTAACCTGTAACAGGATTCAACACTCTTTTCTGACCTCTGAGCACCAGCCACACATACAGTACACAGACTCTGATATAAGTGAAACACTCAAACACGTAAAGATAAATAAAAAGATAGTAAAGCCTAACTGCTGGGAAGATTTTGAATAGGCTCAGCCTCTGGGGCTTATATCCTTTGTTATCTCACTGAGGATGGCAAGCCTCACATCAAAATGGCTGAGCACACCGGAAAAACCATCTGAGTGGTGGAGTCCAGGCCTGACCCACTAGGTAGTGTCTTCACAGGAGTAAGGGAGAACCTGAAATGCCTGCAAATGCTGACTTCTCTGGAGGTGTGCGTTCTCCAGGGACATAGCAACACTGGTCAGGTCCTCAAAAGTTAGTACCAAGTTCTACTCTTTTTTGTTTTGCTGAACCTTAAAAACAAGCATGTTGCACCCCAGATGACAGGGGGAGAAGCAGATATGTTCTAGAAGGCAGAAAACCTCCAAATGTCGCTAAATTCTCCTAGGTTTGTGCATCAGTGCAACACCTGGTCATAAAGAATGGAAAAGAAGGCTAACTTCTAGGACCCCATGCCCTTTAAGGTTGTGTTTCAAAGGCAGAAGCCAGAAAAAAAATCAATTAATAATATACTTACAGTAAATAAAGAGTTCAATCCCCAAACAACATCCTGTAACACAAAAAGAAAGAAAACAATTCTCAGAATCCTAGCCAAAGTCTTTTAAACATGTAGCCAAGAAATAAGCATCACAGGCTATCAAAATATGCACCATCGTGCTTTTCAAGACAGAAAATGCAAACTTTCAAGTCTCAGCTCTAACCAACTTTGTACCTGCTCAGACAGGTGCAGGGACCACAAGCCACATGCATGTTCTGCCTCCTACTGTCACACAGACTGGACTTTTGAAATTTATCTGAAAACAAAACCTGCTGCTTGGAAACATTACTGCAGGTTCTCAGGTAAGTTACTCCACAACATCTTCTTAACCTTCTCTAGTTACTTTAAGAAATAAGGAACAGTCACATTCCTAAGATGACTAATTCCCACTACAATAGCAGTAAAAACCATTGTTTACCTGAACTCACAATTGCCTTCCCTACATGATTCTTCAACTCCAAAGTCTTGTTCTTTTAATCTGATTCTCAGGGACATCCCTGCTTTCTCCCTCTTATCTGTCTTGTCAGATCTGACCTTTGGGTGTGAGCTGCCTAGTGACTGGAGCTGGAGGTGAAGATAAGTCTTAAACCTGAAGAAAGGAGCTAGGCATTTCAGCCCCAAGCAGTAAAAAGACTGCAGAGGACATGGCAGCCTTGCCAGAGACTTGCAGGAGGAGCAGGTACCGTGAATGCAGGACTGGAGGAAACTACCTTCTAGATAGGTGAGACAAGTTGGCAGGGCTAAATCCTGAGGACAGACATGGTGAAAGGCTAGACAGAAGGCTAGGTGGTAGTTCATGTGTCAGAGACCAGTTTTGGAGGAATAACACACAGCTGCATTAAGTCTGCATATTCAGACACTGGATCAATTTTTTTTTTTTCCTGCATTTTTCTCCCCTATGGTGCCTATTCAGTAATAATCTACCCATCGCTTTATAGTCCTTCTGACTCAGGAAGTAACTACACACTTTGTAGCTCTTCCAGACAACTAGAAAGGCTTAAGACACCCCTGTTGAATGAACAAAACCATTATGCTTTCTCCTGTGGTTCTGAAATCTACAGCTTGATGATACCTGAATAATATGGTGCTGGTCAACAGGACTCTTATCTCATTAGAACTGGCTAAGCAATACTTGGTGGAGCAGACTCAGAAAGTATGTGGTTGGGAGGAAGGACAAGGATGCACTTCTTACAGGAGGCTGGTTGCCTGAGGTCTACAGGAGTGCTGACTCTCACCTTCAATGTTCTAGTGGGAGCCCAGCCAGTGCCATCAATTGAATGTTCCCTTAGTAAACTGAAAGAGAGAAAGGCATGTTAATGAGGAGCCACAGGCTATACTGTCTCTATTCACAACAAAGGAATGAATCGCATCTTTGAAACCTGTCTCTTCTTGGCTGCTCAGTCTTCTGTCCTCTGAGGATTGTCTTCACCTCTCAAAGTCATATTTCGGTTACAATGTCTGTTACTTTGACTACTGACTGTGTATGGACTATTAATTCTTCACATGGACTTCCTAAGCAAAAGTAAAACTTTTTTTTCCTCTTAGTCCTAGCTTGCCTGGAACTTACTATATACTCCAGGCTAGCTCAAACTTGTGGCAATTCTCTTGTCTCTGCCACCTGAGTAATTCTATTATAGGTGTGTGTCACCATACCCATCAGAAAGCATTATTAAAACAATATACACACAATAAGCTGCCTAATAGCCAGGAAACAACGACAACAAGAATTATAGAAGAATTGTTGAGGATTAGAGTCCATAATTTATATGTCAAGCATAATTCAAACATAAGTTCTCCAATAGGGAAAACTATTTTACATATGAAAAAAGGATATATTTCCCCAAAGTTTGTGACACCTGCACTTCCAATGCTGAGGCTAATCAGTCTTCCCTCTTACCCACCCCAACGCCCCTCATGGAGTTCCTGCATGTTTCCTGGTTGCCAGTGTGGCTAAGCACCTCAAAGGTTGATGAGTGGTGTCCTTCTGTAGCCTCAACTCCTTTGTCCAGTATCAGTGTCCAGCTTTTTCAAAATGAATGACTACTGAAACATAAGCACAATAAGTAGTCTAGGGATCCCCTCTTTCAATATTGTGTTTATGGTTTGTTATATGCTGTTTTAGTGGGTTTGCTTTTTGTTCTTTGTTTTAAGACAGGGTCTCACCATATATGACCTGGAACTCAGAGAATCACTTGCCCGTGCCAGCTAAGTGCTGAGATTAAAAGCATGTACCACCATGCCTGACAGTATGTTAAGGCTTTTGCATGAGTGTTGGTACTGACTGCATTTCTCAGACAAAAAAAGAGCAGAGACAGGCATCCAGATGCAGCTAATCTTTACATGGTGGCTAATGCTTACTGAGGAGAGTGGAGAAACAGAGGACTCCTAAGAACAGGACATTACAATGAACATCAGAAGTCTCCTTCCCAGGGTAGATGAACATGAGGGCAGTGCCTTCATAGCCTGTCCAAGTCCTACTATCACAGAGGTTCTGCATCAAATGCAGTTGGTCTACACCAGACATTATCTTCTCTAGTTCTTTTCCTTGGAGCGTAGTCATCTAGCAGGGAGAGTTGGAACTGCTAGGCCTTGACCTTGTGCTTCCATGAGAGTAGGACCATTATGGAAAGTATCTTCAGTGCAGGTATGAGATCACTGAGGTTAGATTCCTGCAGTTTTTCTCCTGGGTTTTACTTACCCCACTACCACCCACCCGTGTTACTTAACATCAGCCGTAAATTGAGACTGCAGTTGCTCACTAAAGGAGGTGGAAACACCATTACACTGCACAGTGAGGACTAGCAAGTCCCTGGCAATAAGAGGCCAGTAGAGAATGTATTCTGAAGCAGTTGCTTCAGTTTGGTCCAGCCATTTCTGAATTGTAGCCAAACAAGATCTCCTTACAGGAGCGAAAAGGTTCACACATGTACAGAATGGAGGAAGAGACTCACCTTAGACATATCTCCCCTGTTTCTGTGATGTTGGGGTGCCAGATTTTTGTCAAGCATTTCACTTTGGGAGGCTGTGAGAGAAAGAGACAGAGAAAGACATACAGAGACAGACACAGAGAGGGAGGGAGGGAGGAAAGTAGGAGAGAGGGAAGGAGGAAGGAAGGGGGAGGGGGAGAGAGAAAGAGAGAGATTCAGTCACAGACCTCCCCAGCCCACATCCGCATCGGACTAGGGAACAGACAGTAGGTGGCAGTGTGTGTGCACGCACACCGCACGCCCTGGGCAAGTCCCCTAGCCTGGGTTTAGCCTACTGTCTTATTCTATGTATTTACATCCATGTGCACATGCATATGCCCGCTTGCACATACATGTGTCAGGCATCACTCAAACATAAGCTCTCCAACAGGGAGAGCTATTTCACTTATGAAAGAAGGGTATATTTCCCCAAAGTTTGTGACACCTGCACTTCCAATGCTGAGGCTAATCAGTCTTCCCTCTTACCCACCCCAACGGCCCTCATGGTGTTCCTGCATGTTTCCTGGTTGCCAGTGTGGCTGAGCACCTCACAGGTAGAGTGTGAGGTGCAAGTGTGGTGTGAGACTCCTCAGAGGCAGAGTTACTGGTATCTGTGCTCGAATTTCAACCATAGTTCCACAAAGCCCATGCCACCTATTCCCTAGCCCTGGACCAAACAGGGTGGCTCCTGGCCTTCCCCATGTTCCAAAGCTGATGCTCTACTCTTCTTCAAGGAATCCCTGTAAATCTACTTCCTACCATTTACCCATCTGTCTAGCCACTTACCATTTTTATCACTTCAACTTTCTACATACCACCTTACTTCCCTGCTGTGCTATCCTCAAAAGCAAAAGCCACGTGACAGTCTCTAATATAATTAGTATATAATATGGTCTTTAAGAGACTAACAGAGCTGTAGATTGTTATTTATCTGAAATTATAAAATTATTGACCCCTGGAGTTTTGGCACTATACCATAAATAAAATAAGTTAAAAACATGATTCCCCTATTTAAAAACATTTACATAAAACACACAGGCAGAATATCTGCACAATAACTACCTGTCAGACAAATGAGTTTCTGTACTAAAACCCTCATACTGCTGCTAATGTCACAAAAGAAACACAAGTGGGTTTGTGTTGGAAACATGGCTCCCAGGGCAGTGTCCCCAAGACATGTCTGCATGCCTTGTCCCTAGTGTGTGTGTTGGGGGAGGGGAGGCTAGGTATAAGCTACTCACCACCATGTTGTAGGCATCAGGAACTTCAGTTTCAAATTGAAATTTTCCACCCTGGTAGTAACCCTCATCTATTAAAAACACAAAACAAAACAAAAAAATCTTTAAATAAAAAAAAAAAAAAAGGAAACAAAAGCAAACACGAATTAGGATATGGGAAACAGAGATTGAAGAGGTTAAAACTAGGACCAGAGTTCCCAGGCTCCTTCAGCAAAGCTGACACTGCAGAGCCTTGTCCTGCCAAATCTGCCACCATCACCAGCTGCTCCAGGGCAAAGGTGCCCTCAGAGAAGAAGGGGAGCGTGTCCTGCAGGAAGCCTGGCTCTCTTGCAAAGCACTACAGTTAGTGTGTTCCCTCTTAACCATCTCCGGCCTTGTGCGAGTTACCTCTTTAGAAGCCAGCTTCCAGATGCCATTTCTGTGGGAAAGCTGTTCCCCAGCACCTGTGCACAACTTCCAACCACTCAGCACATGCTCACCCAGCACGGCCACTGCTAGATGGCTCAGGGCTTAGGGGAACAGTTGGGAACTGGAGAGTTATACCCAGTGCCTCAGTACATGCTTGGTGAAGCTTCCAGGAAAGAACGTGCAACCTTAGGAAATGGGTGTTGGCAAGAACCCAGGAGGATGTACAGGCTTCTTCAGGTCAGCAAACACCACAGCACAGAGTCCCTCTTGTCTAACTGGAGCCAGCCTAGCTTCAAGGAGCTGAAGGGGATGCAGCCAGCAGAGGGTGCCAGAGTCTCAGTCTCACTGTGACATGAGTAGTACAGTCTTCATCTTTAAGCTACAACACTAAGGCCAATTGCTCCAACTTTTTACGTAAATTAAGCACATAAAGCAAGTTATCAGTAAATACACCATCACCAAAAGTAGGCTTCTTTAAGAATTTTGGCCTGTAGGCTAGTATATTCGCTCAGCAAGCAAAGGTGCTTACTACCAAACCCGGAGACCTCAGTTCAATTTCCAGGACCCACAAGGCAGACAGGACCAACCGCAAGTTTTTCCGCTGATCTCCACCCAACAACTGTGGCATATGCACACTCAAAAATAAATTGAGAGAGAGAGAGAGAGAGAGAATTTTGTGGCTGTGTTGTTATCCAACAGTTAAAACAGTCATTATGGGATCTTTACACTTAAGACTCAGGAAACCTCATAAAAGAACAAGCACTTTTTGTGCGTTATTTCAGTTTTTTCACAGTCCTCGCTAAAGTCCAGATGACGGGTTATTTCCACTTCTTTCCTAAGAACTGGTGTCCAGCTCTTGTTTGCAAGAATATATATGGGTCTCAGATGTAAAGGGTTCATCCATTTGCCTTTGCTTTTGTTAATGTTTTTTAATTAATGTGTATGCTTGTGTGCATGTGTGTGCGCGCGCGCCAGAGGTGGAGTTACACGCCATATGAACCAAAGCAGGTACTGTGATCCTCTGGAAGAGCAGCAAGAACTCTATCACTGAACTCTCATTCCAGAATGTTTTTGCCATTTTATTTACTTTTTGTGGGGAAAGGAAGAGTTAGAGACAGTGTCTCCCTGGGTAGCCGTGGCTGCCCTAGAACTCACTTTGTAGATCACACTTGGCCTCAATCTCAGATTGGCCACCACACTCAGCTAAATTTCCATTTCTAAGAAGCCAGTTCTACTTCATGGATTCAGTCTGTGGTATAGTGGTTTAAAAAGGTCTTTCACAACCAAGATTAATGAATGCCTTAGTAAAAAAAGTTAATTCACTCATTTCACAGAATATGGTGTTTGTTTTCTCCCCTCCCAATTGGCTGCTTAATTTTCTTCTGTCTGATACATCAAATCTATTCTCTTTCCTTTGATTGATACATTAATCGATTCAGTTTGACTTGAGAACAGCCTAGGAGATTACACAGCTTTGGGAGTATTTGTGAGGCCTTTCCAGAAACAAACCACGAGGACTCTGACATAAGGAGCTGTTTGTTCAGCTCAGGGTTTGAATACACACCTGGGAGGTTGACGGACTGTGGAAGTGTGGCCCAGATGACGTGGCACTGTGCGAGGTACTCTGAGCTGCATCTTGCCTGAGCTCATTCTTATGCTGCTTTTATTCCTGTTTGCCATGCCCTCCCTAAAAAAACCGACTGCCACCCCTAAAATGGTGAGCAAAACAAATCACTCTTCTTTTAAGATGTTCAATCATTCACCTTTTGTAAATAATCTGTAGTTGTGACACAGCCTTGGGAAAAGATACTTGTTTTTGTAAGTTGTTTGGTAAATTTAGCGCCAAGTTTATTGATGTCGTTCCCTTGTAATTTGACTTCAACCATCCTGGTCCATAATCTTTACAAAAGTCTGCTTTATTCTGCAGACCACATAGTCCACTCTAAACTCTCCTTAGGAATGACTGTGCCCACATAAGACAGTGACCCCTTCAAGGCTGTGCTGCAGCCACCCTCACCCTGCCACACTGCTTCTCTAGCTGGCTTTATGTTTCACTGACTGCAATTACCCTTTCTTCCATCACTTTTCTTCTGTCCCAGCAAAGTTTTCATTTAATAATTAGGTTATGTCTCAAGTAACTAAGCTCTAAGAATAAACTGCTCTATTTTTTTTAATGGAGCTCTTTTCTTTTCTTATGAAAATGACCTGCTTCTTAGTCAGTACTTCCCTATTCAAAGCCAAGGCAGACCTGACCCACTTCACCCTCCTACTGACTTGCAACTCACAATGCAGTCAAGCCACAGCGTGCACTGCAAACACGAATGCTCAGCTCTGGCCTAGCTTTCAGGATGATGACCACAGTTGCTCAGTGTCTCTGACTCCCCTCCTATACCTGGCCCCCAGTTAATAGCCCAACGAGGAGGCTTCTCTCCTCTGGGGCCGACAGGCTGCAGACTACAGTGTACAGTGTACCAACTCTGTACTACTAGCCACAGTTGCTGAAGCCAAAAACATTTTACTTCTTGGCAACTGGGACTGAATCCTGAAATACAGCAGGAGAAAGCTCCTGGCTCCCTGCCCACTGTTACAGTTCTTCCTTCCACTGGAGCTTTACAGCCTGTTCCTTTTTGCCTTCAAGGAATCACAGATCAGGCGGGTGACTTCTGGGAAGAAATTACCTAAGGGTTCATGGACACTAACACTTGGACACACCTGCCCTACGCCAGAATGACTGCTACGTGCTCTCAAGGACCAGAAGTCTGACTAGCTCCACTTTGTTCCTCCCATTTTACAACTTTTTCCCTACTTTAAGATACACCCCCAACACCTTCCCACCCACTGGCCACGATGATGTTCTACATCATGGTATAAACAGACCCAAAGGGCTGAGAGAAGCACATCATATCACAGTTACTGCCATGGGTTCAGACATGATTCAGAGATAATTAATGTTTCATTTAGGTAGTTCAGTCTCAAGCTGGGTGACCTGTAATCCCATCACTCACAAAAGGTACAGACAGGATGATCAGAAGTTCAACATCTCTGGTGACATAGTAAATTAAGAAACCAGCCAAGCCACAAAACACAACCATGCCAACCTTAAGCTGTTGTGAAAGAATACATTGCTTCCCCTTGCAAGAAGCAAACAATGTGCCAATAAGCAATTACCAGGGTACCCTCTCAAACCCACTACCTCACTCTATGCTCTCCACCCAGCGAGAGTCACAACTCCCAAGTGACAAAGCTCTCAGGAGACTCTTGGAAGTGAGGAGTGAGGGAAGACTTCACCAGAGAGCATGAGAGTTATTTTGACAGGTAATGTTCATGGCAGGCAATTTGGAAAACCTGGAATGAGATGAATCTGCAGCACCAAGTTTTAGATGAAAGCATTAAGAATGTGGTGGTGAGACTCACTATGATGCCAGCAAGACACACTAAATGATTGTCAATATTCTCATCTCTGAGTACCTGAGGTAAAACAAGACGCTATGCAGGAATTGTGGCAGGTATGACAGGAGTCAGCAAAGTGGGCTTAATCAGGACTCAGAAACCTTACCAACGTGTTCCAGTGCCTGGTTGGCAAGGCCTCTTCTAACTTAGTTTCAACATATCCAAACAATGTACTAGATCTAGCAATCAATTCCAAGACCATGAAATTTGGTTTTAATTTTGAACTTTTCTGTTGTTCACTTCTCTGTTGCTATGACCAAGGCAACTTACAGAAGATTTTATTTGGGTTTGTAGTTCTAGAGGGATAAAAGCTAATCACTATCATAGCAGGGAGCGTGGCAGCTAAAACAGAGAGCAAATGGGAATGGTAGGAGGCAGTGAAACTTCAAAGCCCCTCCCCAACTGATGTACTTCCTCCAGCAAGGCTATACCTCCCAAGCCTCCCAAACAATGCCAAAAAACTGGGGACCATAACTTAAAGTGACTAAGCCTGTACAGGGCATTCTCATTCAAACCACCACATTCCACTCCCTGCCCCATAGTCTAAGGGTCAAATCATACTACAAAATGCATTTAGTCCACCTTCAGGAGTCCCCATGGTCTTTCAATCTCAACTGTTTGAAAAGCAAAGCCTCTTCTGAGACTCAGAAGTCTTTTCACTGTAAGCCCCTTGTAAAAATCAAAGGCAAATTAAATACTTCCAACATAAAATGGCACAGAACACACATTTCCATTCCAAAAGGAAACTGGCCACAGTGATGAAACATGGGACCAGAGCAAGACAGAAACCCAGAAGGGTAAACCCCAAATCCTTTACATCTGATGTTAGAAGGCTTAGATGGGTTCTTCGTTTGGGTGTTGCTACCTCATTTCTGGGCTAGTTCTAATCACTGTGTGCAACTCTCCTTGGTGGATAGCCCATTGTTACAGAATCTCCAACATCTTGGGGTCTCAAATGCAACTCAGGCTTCATTTCCAGACACTCATGTAATAGCCTCTTAGGGCCTCCATTCAGGACCTCCCTTGTTACACACTTAGCTTCAAGTATCCTTTATGACTCTAAAGCCAGCACCCCATGGATGACACTGACAAGTTTGGCTACCAACTTAGATCCTTGAGTCACTCTGGCAACAGAGCTTTTGTCTGCTGTTTCTTTTCTAGGAGCAGAAAATTCCTTAGGCCTTCCTTTTACACATTGGAAGCTCAGCTGAAT